CCAGCTTGAACCTCTGGCAACTCCCTCTACTGCACTGCTGCAACCGTTGCTGGATGATCTTCAGCAAAATTTTACTTGTTTGTGATATCATTGAGACGGTTCTATGGTTTGAGCATTCTGTTGGGTCACCTTTCTTTGGAATGGGCACAAATATGGATCTCTTCCAGTCAGTTGGCCGAGTAGCTGTCTTCCAAATTTCCTGGCACAGAGAGTAAATCCTTTCAGTGTGTCATCAGCTTGTTGAACTAGTTCAATGGGTATTCCATCAATTCCTGGAGCCTTGTTTTTAGTGAATGTGTTCAGTGTAGTTTGAACTTCTTCCTTCAGCACCATTGGTTCTTGCTCACATGCTACTCCTGAAATAGTGGAATGTTGACTAGTTCTGTTGGATACAGTGGCTCTGTGTATTCTTTCCATCTTCTTCTTTTTTAATCATTTTATTGGGGCTCGTACAACTCTTATCACGATCCATAGATCCATCCATTGTGTCAAGCACATTTGTACATTTGTTGCCATCATCATTCTCAAAACATTGACTTTCTACTTGAGCCCTTGGTATCAGCTCCTCATTTTTCCCTTCCCTCCCCGTTCCCCCATCCCTCATGAACACTTGATAATTTATAATTTATTATTATTTTGTCATATCTTATGCTGTCTGATCTCTCCCTTCACCCACTTTTCTGTTGTCCATCCCCCAGGGAGGAGGTTATATGTAGATCCTTGTAATCAATTCCCCTTTCCACCCCACCCTTCCTCCACCCTCCTGGTATCGCCACTCTCAGCACTGGTCCTGAAGGGAATCATCTGTCCTGGACTCTCTGTGTTTCCAGTTCCTATCTGTACCAGTGTACATCCTCTGGTCTAGCCAGATTTGTAAGGTAGAATTGGGTTCATGATAGCGGGTGGGGAGGAAGCATTTAGGAACTAGAGGAAAGTTGTATGTTTCATCGTTGCTACACTGCACCCTAAGTGGCTTGTCTCCTCCCCCTGACCCTTCTGTAAGGGGATGTCCAGTTGCCTACAGATGGGCTTTGGGTCCCCAATCTGCATGCCCCCTCATTCACAATGATAATGATTTTTTTGTTCTGATGATGCCTGATCCCTGATCCCTTCGACACATTATGATCGCACAGGCTGGTGTGCTTCTTCCATGTTGGCTTTGTTGCTTCTGATCTAGATGGCCGCTTATTTACCTTCAAGCCCATAAGACCCCAGATGCTATATCTTTTGATAGCCGGGCACCATCAACGTTTATCACTACATTTGCTTATGCATCCATTTGTCTTCAGCAATTGTGTCAGGAAGGTGAGCATCATGGAATGCCAAGTTAATAGAACAAAGTGTTCTTGCGTTGAGGGTGTACTTGAGTGGAGGCCCAATCACCATCTGCTACCTTACTACTAAGCCTATAAATATATGCACATAGATCTATTTCCCCATCATCATCATATATAAATGTATTAACATATGTACATGCCTGTATTTAGACCTCTATAAATGCCCTTTGCCTCCTAGTTCTTTCCTCTATTTCCTTTGACTTTCCTCTTGTCCCACTATCATTCTCAGCCTTCATTTGGGTTTCAGTAACTCCTCTTGGTTGTATTGCCCTTGACCAATCCCTATCAGGCTTCTTACACCCTCCTTGACACTGATTTTGGATCACTTGTCCCTGGATTTGTTAACACCACTTCCTTTCCCCTACCTCCCTCTCTCCCATTGTCCCGCCTAGAATGATTGGTCCCATTGTTTTCTCTTCCAGATTGTTTATCCAGCCTATCTTATCTAGATAGCCCTGCAGAGATAATAATATGCACAAAAAACCAATCTTTCCATCTTCTTTGGATGCTTCCTGCATCTTTCAATATTTTACTTCAAGCTTCTTGAAAGCTTTGAGCTCAATTCTAACTCTAGGGTTGAATTTTTTTTCTTAATTTTTTTAGTTTAAGATATGCTGAACGTGTTCTTCCTTTATTGGTTTTCTAATTCTAGGTCTGTGCACATTTCATCATAATATTTGACTCTGTCTTCTTGAGCTGCCCTTTGAAATTTTTTTGTTCAGCTTCTTGCCTTCATTTCTTACATTTACCTTAGTCAGACCTTTAGAATAGCCTTCAATTCATTCCTGTGGGAAATTTTGTTGATTTGAATCCTTTTAAGATATAATTGTGTCTGGAAAATGCATAATGCCTGTTTTGAATATTAAAATAGCAAACGTCTTTACGTTTTCAGATTGCTTTAAAGCAGTGGTTCTCAACCTTCCCAATACCTGACCTTTTAATACAGTTCCTCATGGTGTGGTAGCCCCCAACCATAAAATTACTTTTGTTGCTACTTCATAATTGTAATTTTGCTACTGTTATGAATCGGGTGACCCCTGTGAAAGGTCGTTTGACCCCCAAAGGGGTTGAAACCCACAGGTTGAGAACGGATACACGTGTTAGCCTAATCCCTAAACAGCAGCTGCTTAGTGCAGCAGACTCAAGGAACAACTGCTGCCTTGCTCTCTGGTGAAGCTTTCCCAGGACGTGGGTGGGTGGGTGGGTGGGTGGGTGGGCCTGGGCGTGAGATCTCGGTGGAGGGGGTAAGGTTTTCTCAGGATTACTTACTTTACCCAAAGGACACTGGTGATACAGTGGGCTACATGTGGGACTACTAATTGAAAGGTCAGCAGTTCAAAACCACCAGCCCCTCTATGGGAGAAAGAGGAGGCCTTCTACTGCCTTGTGGAGTTACAGTCTCAGAAGCCCACAGGGACAGTTCTACCCATCATCATCGGGTCACTGTGAGTCAACATGGGCTCCAGAGCAGAGAATTGGAGTTTTGAGTTTTTACCTGTGACCCAGGTGTCGGTTGGGGGCTACCACTTAGATTTGTTTGCTGATGGAGTGATGCAGTTAAGGAAACGTTGTTGGGACAGGGTCTGTTAGTCTCTGCTTCCACAGTTGATTAAGCAGGAATGATCTTTTCATTTGTTTGTATTTACAGTTATAATCATAATTTGAATTGTCCTCATTAAGTCCGTCATCGACATCCCGTGTTGTCATCCTCCCCACCCCCCACCCACCCCCCACCCCCACCCCCATATCCTTCCTGTTCATGATCTGGTAAGAATTACTCTGCGAGTAGGATAACCATGAGCATTTGGTGACTGTGACTCTTGTTCATATGAGTTGCAATAGAGGGTCATATCTCACCTTCTCTGGCTTCCCTGTTGTCACAGGCAAGAGCCAGACACGCCTTCATGCTTCATCGTCATTCATTGTCATCGTCATTGCCTGTTTGGACACCAGGCGTCCTCCCAGCCACGCCACATCTATGCAGGGCTTGGTAATTTGTTGCAGTGGCCACATAGAACTCGCAGTCCATACTCACAATTAAGGGGATTTATTAGACAGTCATTGGTCTTTTCAGCAGCTAAGCCTCTCTCCAGTTTTTAGCCTCTCAGCCCTTTGCCTCCATGGGCCAGGAAGGCAGTCCATCCATCTCTCTGTCCCACAGTTCCATAGATTCGGGCCAGATGGGGAGAAGGGAGCTCATCGTGCTGTTCCTCTGAGTCTTCGTGCCAGTCTCCAGTGTGTCTGACCTCGGTGGCCTCAGGCACTCAGAGATCTTCAACTTGTCCCTCCAATGTCCTGGGGATTTCTCTCTCTGCTCCTGCTTCAAAAATGGCACATTCTTATAGTCGGGGCAGGGGTTGAAAAGAAGGGGGTGGTACTGAAAACTGACCAGTCCCCTCTCTTAGTGTTATACATGCCCTAGTTGCCAAGTCCCACCCAATGGTTTGGTGGAAGTTACAGAGACTTGGGTAAACTCACTGCCGGCATGTCAATTCTGACTCATAGCAACCCTACAGAACAGGGTAGAACTGCCCCCAGTGGGTTTCTGAGACTGTAACTCTTTTTTTTATTATTAAATAATCATTTTATTAGGGCTCATACAACTCATCACAATCCGTACATACGTCATTTGTGTCCAGCACATTAGTACATATGTTGACTTCATCATTCTCAAACACCCGCTTTCCACTTGAGCCCTTGGTGTCAGCTCATTTGACTGTAACTCTTTATGGGAGTAAAAAGCTTCAGATTTTCCCCCAAAAGTGGCTGGTGGTTTTGAACTGCTGACCTTGTGGTTAGCAAACCAACGATAACCCACTATGCTACCAGGGCTCCTGAGGCTTGGTAGAAAAGCCATATTAAATTTCACTCCACCACAGGAGTCTACCACTTAGGAGAGCAATAAAACTCTTGTGTTAAAATAATGGATTGGTTATTGGTCTGCTTATGGTTACTATATTTTTCGGGTGCCTTGTCACATGTTTGCTCTGCCTGCTGAGCCATATGACATCGTATGTGAAATTCTTGACTTTAAGCTTACAACCATCTGTAGAACCTCTGTGTCCTCTGGTCCACCTTCCCAGCCCCTTCTCCACCCCTGCCCGCGAGTTAGAACATACTGGCCTTGCAGGACCTAATTACTGCGTCTTCAAATTTAACAAGGCTCTGGACCCCAAAGTATACTATTATACTTACTTCATGGAGAATGGGAGGAGAGGGTAATTTTTTAACGTCCAGTTTGTAAGATTATCTATAGAGTAGGCTCCTAAGATATCTTCTCAACTCAAACATTCAGTCAACTTGCATTAAAGACAGATAACTGTGAAATAATAACCCTGGAGCACAGCAAGTGGGTGTTTTGGGATATTTTAAATCTTAGACCCTAAACTTTAAGGAATTACTAAATCAGAACATTTGTTTATTTAGCGCCATTAGGCATGAACTTACTCTAGTTATGATTCTGACCTAGATTGTCCACTAAATCTGCCCTGCCCTGTACTCTCTCACACAGCTGAACTTCTGAACATCACCTTTCTGCTGCTCCTTTTACTAACACTGTGAACTCCAGTGCATGAACAGTAGCATCCTCTTCAGCACCTATACCTGAACATTCAGCAAGCAACTATGAATGCTAATGAATCGTCTCTCTTTCCAATCACCCAGCTCTGTAAGAAGCATCACTTTGGAATTGATAAGCCGGAGAAGATCGTCCCCTCTCCTGATGACTCCAGGTTTCTGCTGAAGACCTTTACGCATATTAAGTCCAATGTGGCAGCGCCTAATAAGAAGAAGGTAAGAGGTGGATTGACAAGACTCTGGGTGATTTTCCTGCCAGTCTGTTTACCTGCTGAGTTCTCTGTCATAATCAAGCACTGTCCCTGCATGGCTTGGGATTAGGCAGCTACGAGCTAGTCACAGAATGCTCTGGGTTCCGTTCCTGCAATAGACGCTCGGTGTCCCGTCTCACAGGTGAAGGAAAGCAAGGAGAAGGAGAAGCTGGAGAGGAGGTTGCTGGAGGAGCTGCTGAAGATGTTCGTGGACTCGGAGTCTTTCTACTACAGCTTGACCTATGACCTGACCAACTCAGTGCAGCGGCAGAGCGCAGGGGACAAGGACGGCCGCCCCCTCTGGCAGAAGGTACTGCTGAGGCCCAGAGCTGGGACTGGGCCCCCCATCCCACCCCACCCCACCCTGCACAATGGAGCGGTCCACTGCAATGCCATGTTTCTCAACTGTGCCTTCTCTTCCTCTCTTGCAGGTTGATGACAGATTCTTCTGGAATAAATACATGATACAAGATCTTACTGAGATTGGTGTGAGTCATTGTTTCTAAAACATCCCGAGTTACCAATGCTGAGCGAGTGTTTTAACTTGTGGTAAACTAAAAATCCTACTGTAACATTTTTCCCTCCCAAAGTGGGGTCCTTTAGGAACCCCAAGCCATTAATGTAAGGTCATTCACAATCCCACTGCCTGGCCACAAGCCTGTCTTTTTTAGCAGGCTCCCAGTGGGTACTAGGAATTTCAGGCAGCAGACCAGCTGCCCACAGAGAGGGATCTCCTGTTTGTGCCCATTGAAAGTGTACATCCCGGTCTTTGTTTAATGTTGGCAGTCATCTAGCCTCTCCGGGTCGTCCTTTTCTAATCTGTAAATAGGGACCTGGAGCAGAGAGGTCTCCAGGGCCATTCCAGAAGGGCCAAAGAAGACAGGCTGAGATTATGGGGGAGGCTGCTTCTGGTTCCGAGGTTACTCTCCTCCTGACTCTGGTCTCAGGAGGGTTTGTTCGTTGGTTCAGTTAAGCATCACTCATTTAAAAGCTACCTATGTGCCTGATCTCATTTGGTGCAAGTTACAAAGTAGGTAGATAGCTAGATCAGGTCCTAGGTGATTTTATTTCAACTTTTCAGAAATTTAAAATCGGTGTGCTTTCTGTTATCTCCCCCTCTGCTCCCATCTCTACTGACATGGTTAGTGTAAATGATTTTGACCTTGTACACCCAACGTGTATCAAGAATGAAGCATGACGCTCTCATCTCTGTTCATAATACTGATCAAACTGCGTCCACCAAATCCCGGTAGTAGAAGAGAAAAATGATAAGGACCTTCCCATCAAGCCCTAGTCCTGTCCGCTGGCCTCCACCGGCTATCAGTTTCTAATATGTTTTACAGCGATTTTGTGAGAACATGTTTTCATTAACATTTAAAACTGATAAGGCTGGTATTTAACAACATTCATTTCCCTGTTCTTGTCAAATTTGTTGCTATATACAAATAGTGGGGGCAGTGATAAGAAATGAAGGCAGGTGGACCCCGTTATCTTACTCACTGTTTTCAGTACTAGGGAGTCCTTGTGGCCTAGTGGTTATGCTTTGGGCTTCTAACTGAAAGGTCAGCAGTTTGAAAGCAGCATTCACTCCCCAGGAGAAAGGTGAGGTTTTCTACTCCTGTAAAGAGTTACTGTCTCAGAAACCCACAGGGGCGGTTCTACTCTGCTCTACAGGGTCACTGTGAGTGTGAATCGACTCGGTGGCAGTGAGCTTTGAGTTTGAATTTATTTCCAGTTCTGACCACCTTCCTGAGATCCTGTCTGCAGGGTCTGTGAAACCGTGTGGTAGGACCTGGAGCACCTGGTACCGGGAGAGGAGAGGGATTTGACGTTGAAGCTGTGATTAAGTCTAGATACGACTCTGGAGCTGGAACGAGAGCGAGTAGGACTGAGTGCTCCCTGGGAGCACTTCATCCTTACACGGCTCGACAGTCAGTGAGAAATCTGAACATTCTTAGTCTGAGGGACACAGAAGAGGAAATCTCTAATTTTTACTCCTCAAATTGTGTTGAGTGGAGCCTTGGTAGCATAATGGGCTAAGTAATAAGTATTGGACTGCTAACAGAAAGGTCAGTGGTTCAGGTCCACCAGGGGCTCCATGGAAACCCAAGGGAGCAGTTCTCCTTCCTGTGGGGTTTCTTAGCTCTTTTTGAATTTTCCACCAGAAAGAAAATATTAAGACTTTAATATTTCCCTTCACTTCTTCCCCTTCACTTCTCCCCTCTTTCACTCTTTCTCCTTCCATCCTTCCCTCTTTCTGTCCTCGGTGTTCTTTCACCAGTCAGCGTGGTTCAAGGAGGACAGGTTTCTGCTGTTTTATGAACAGACACAGAAGTGCTAACCGCTGTTGGGTTTAGGAAAGCAGTGGTCGTATCTTCGTACACCGAATAACAACATGATGTTCCTGCTATTGCAGATACCAGATGTGAACTTCTGGATCCTCCCCATTATCCAAGGTTTTGTGCAGATTGAAGAACTCGTGGTTAATTACAATGAAGCTTCCGACGATGAGAAGAGTAGCCCCGAGACCCCCCCTCAGGAGTCCACCTGTGTAGATGACATTCACCCACGCTTCCTAGTGGCTCTCATATCTCGCCGAAGCCGGCACAGAGCAGGTGAGCTGTGGGTGCTCAAACGACAATTAATAGGATGCAAATCAAGCTCGTGTGAATGGAACGTTTGCAGATGTGTTGAAATGGCAGTGACACTAGTGGGTCTGGAAGCCTGGTGCTAAGATACCATAACTGAATGCCATGATGTAATCAGGACTCACTGTAGGAGAGGAGTGAAGAGGGGGAAATTAACCAGAGGATAAGGGGGTCTGCCATCTAGAGAGGAGAAAGTTGGTTGGGGTGTGCTTCTAAATACTAGCGTTCCAAGTGACAACTTGGATCACGGTGATCAATTCTTCTTGAGGACCCAGACCCACTACCATTGAGTCAGTTCTGTCTTGAGGACTCGTACTGTCTACCTCAATTCATAGGAGCACGCTTAGCTGCAACTTTGTAAAGGCCTTAGTAGGTGTGATATGAGGCTCGATGAGTCCTTTTGTGCCTGGCAGTGCACATTGGTAATCCTCAACTACCTGTTTCCCTCCCCTCACTTAGTGACTCTCTTGTTATCTGGAATTTCACGTTTATGACAGTAGTAAAAATTGAGACTATTTTGCGCATCCATGGTGTACGTGTGGCAGTAACCAATGCCTAGGTTACTGCCAGGTGCCAGGCAAGAGTAATGATGGCTGTGCTGGTTAAGATAATGAGTCAGCTTGGCTGGGCCCTGAGTCTCAGTGGTTTCACAAATGTGTAATGAGAGGTAATTTGGCAGCTATGTAGTGATGCGGTCTCTTCCATTCTGTGTCCTGCTGTAGCCATCTTCCATTCTGTGATCTAAAGTAACCATCCTCCATTCTGTGATCTGAAGTAACCATCCTCCATTCTGTGATGTAATGTGACCATCCTCCATTCTGTGATCTGAAGTAACCATCCTCCATTCTGTGATGTAATGTAACCATCCTCCATTCTGTGATGTAATGTAACCATCCTCCATTCTGTGATGTAATGTAACCATCCTCCATTCTGTGATGTAATGTGACCATCCATTCTGTGATGTAATGTGACCATCCTCCATTCTGTGATGTAATGTGACCATCCTCCATTC